GCCAACATGCCTGGTTCATACACTGTTTTTTGACCATGGTGTATATCATAATTTTTTAAAGTTCAGAATTAATGAAATCACTTCATAATATTTATCACATAATCCAGTACTCCCTCTGTGGAAGGAAAATACAGCTTTTAATAATTAAGTTGACAAACAATGAATACAAGAAACTAAAATCTTTAAAACAATATCTTAGCCAAGGTAATATTTTGTGCACTTATACATATGAAAAAATGAAGTACAGGTTTGTAGATCTAATGACAACAGGTGCCTTCAAGGGAACTCAATCCTGAAATAGATTTTTTTAAACTTTATTTTATTACTTTCTACCTTTCAGTTTATTGAAGGCGACATTTAAAATTACTTCAAAAATTAATCTTTCTTCTATCTTATTTTTTTTATTTATCTGTAACACTGGAATGCATTACAATTCTCATTACACATTTAGAGCACATTTTTTCTTATCTCTGGTTGCATACATAGTATGTAAAACTACCTAAATATATATACACTGTTTCCTAAATCTGATTTTTTTTCAAAATTGTTTATTTGTGACTTACATTAAGCAACATTGCTAGTAACTGTTGGATCAGCTCTGAAAGGCAGTGCTACAAAATTGGTTCTGCAGCAGAAATGAAGATTCCCAACTGAGTATATTCTTGCTATTCAATAAATGATGCTTGAATTTCTCTGCTTTATTTTCTAGAATTAGATATAAATGTATTTGTTCTATTAGATTTAATTTTAGAAGTACTAAGTTCTATCCAGAATTTTTTAAAAGTACCTTTCAAAAGAATTCATAATCAATATTCTGAATCTCTTATCATTATCAATGTTCTTTCATTTATACAATTCCATTTCTCTCTATAATAGAGAAGTAACTAATATGCCCCACATTTGTTTCCCTACGTTATTTTCTATCTTCATTGAGTGTACATGCACACATTTTATGCTGGAAGGTAGGTTAACACTATTAGTAGGACTTTTATCTGCAGTGTTAAATCTCTAGTATCAATAATGCTGCTTGATCTGTAAATAACAAATGATAGTTAATAAGTAACATAGCACATATAAACATAACACGACACGTTAGGTCAATGTAGGAACTAAAATTAATGTAAAAGTTATTGACCAGTGAGTGTGGGTTATGTCTAATGTCAAAAAAGCTTAAATCTTCTAGTTAAGAAGATGAAATTTCAATAATTTGATCCAATTTCTTGATCTGGGCCTTTCTGAAGAGAGAGAGAAGAAAGAAAACTGTTGACCATTGTTATGGTCTAGATATTACGCATCCCCCAAAAGCTCATATGTGAGACAATGCAAGAACATTCAGAGGCAAAATGATTGATTTATGACAGTCTAAACCTAATCAGTGCATTAATCCACTTGAATGGATTAATTGGGTGGTAAATTGAGGCATATAGGGTGTGGCTGGAGGAAGTCGGTCCTTGGAGGCATGCCTTTCCGTTATATATTTGGTTGGTTGTAAGGGGATGTCTCTCTGTATCAGGAAGCAGAGAGCTTCTATCCTCTGCCACACTTTTCTGCCATGATGTTTTGCCTCAACTACAGTCCAGAGCAAGAGAGTTGGCCATCTTGGATTGAGACCTGAAATCTTGAGCCCTGAAATAAACTTTTCCTCCTCTAAAATTGTTCTTGCCAGGTCTTTAGGTTATAGCAGTGAAAAGGATGACTAAATCAGCCATATTTCCAACAAATACCACCTTAGTTTTCCCAATATGACAGTCTATTGATGTAGGTAGAGCAAGTTAGAAAGCTTTTCCCAGTGGCCTATAGAAGGAAACTCTGAAAGAATTCTTGTAGTTCAAGAATGTGCCATGTGACAAACTAGTATTATGGCAGCATGTTTGTTAAGTTGAGAAATATGTAGGTCCATCTTAATGCCCCAATGGACCTGGAAGATCTGATGAAGAATTATTTGAAAATGTGTCCTGGGTCCCCAGTGATTTAGGCTTCCAGGAGCAGTTTGCAGCAGAGTGGTACATTAAGACTATGATACAAAGAACTGTGAAGGAGACAGTGACATGGGCTATTTGTGTAACTTCTAACCTTTATAATTCATATAATAGAACTTTAACCTTTAATGTAAATCTATTAGGTAGAGTTTAGAACTTTAACCTTTAATGTAAATCTATTAGGTAGAGTTCAGGGACACCAAGATGAATTATGGTTTAAGGAAGTTTGGTAATATTAATTTGAAATTATTGAGATACTCCTGTAACTACAGTATCAATTAAGGCTGTTTTTTTTTTGTTGTTGTTAATTATTCTTCCATTCTTGAATTTTTCCTTAAACAACAATGTGAAAGACTGAGTATTAGAAAGAAGTTGCTAGAGGACAAGATGAGGAGAGGAGTCCTGTTCCTTAACAATAAATCCCATTACCAGACATCTTCTGCCACTGAAGACATCACCATGACAATCCTCACCACTGTTGACAGAGATATATCACCATGACAACTCCCACCACAGGTTCCAATTTTTAAGTGACCAATGGAAGTAAAGTAGGCAATATTCTGATTAGGGTTTCTAAAGTAACCCTTGGAGGGAAAATATTCTAATCAGATATCATAAGATAACCTATGGGTTCATATAGAGAAGAGAACACCACACAATTCAGGATATAAAACCTCAATTTCCAGATATTGAGGCCTTAAATATCTCTCTCTTGCTTGGCCCACTCAGTTCTACATAACATAATGTTATATTCACCTTCAATAAATTTTTACTCTGTTACTTGTGTGTGTTTTCCTCAATTCTTTGTTTATGACATCAGGGACCTGGCCTTTGACTGGACATCCTAATGGTAACAAATCTTCTTCCCCCAAAATATCATAAATTTTGAAGAGAATGGAAACTCTGGTAATGTTCAAGATATGCAATATATGAAACCATATAAATTTGTGGGGTACCAAGTAAAGGCTTCAATTACTTTGCATTCTTATCAGATTGTGACAATTTGAATTAGTTTATTAATCTTTAAGTACTTAATTGCCTTTCTTTTTTCTTATGTATGAGAAAGCTATAAATCTTCCCCGTTATCTCAAGATTATCTCCCATGTTTTTGAAGCCAGCATTTTAGAGTTATTTTTCATTCATTTTTCTCCTAATTTCATGTGTAGAATCCATCAACAAATTCTACTGATACTGCTTTCCAAATGTAGCAGGATCCAGCATTTCTGATGAGAATTAATTCCATGTCTATTTAGTTCTCTATAACATAGATTACTCTAAATGTTTCCTAAATGGTTTCACTTTAATTTTTCCTCTATCTGTGTCTACAGGCTATGTACACTGCAATATTCAGAGTATTTCTCTATTTTGTTTTCATTTTGCAGTACTGCTATTGAACCCAGGAATTGGCACATGGTAGGCAAGTGCTCTACCAGTGAGCTATATCCCCAGGCCTTTTTATTTTTTATTTTGAGACAAGCTCTCCCTAATTTTCCTGGTATGGACTTGTCATCCTCCTGCCTCATTTTCTGAAATGTTGTGATTTTGAGCATATGCACCACACTCAACCAGAGTTTCATTTTAAAGTAAGTCAGGACATGTCACTCATTGGATCATACTCCACCCTTGACTTTCTCTTTTGTTCAAGATGATACTGAAAGTATTTTTTTTTATTTTATTTTTTATATTTATGTATTTTGGTTTGTTTGTTTATTTTTTCAGTTATGAGACTTGTAGCCTCAAATATGCTAGGCAAGTTCTCTACATGGAGCTATATTCCTAACCTGAATGCTGAAAGACTTTCTGCTGATCTAAGTGACTTGCATTATTGGGGCTCTGTAACCTTCTCTAATCTTTTTTCCTCCTGCTCTGCCACTTTTCCACTCTGTCCTGTCCCATTTACTTTATTTTATTTTTCCTAAAATATACATGTCAGCTCTGATAATGGGCCCCTTATAGTTGTGTCTTTCTGCCTGGAGAGTTATTGCTGAGTACAAAAATACCCAATTGTTCATCACTGTTGCTTTCACCATGTCCAGCCAATTATCACTTATTGAATAAGGCATTCCTTGACCACTTTATTTGAAATGGACTTTCTTCTATTTTTCTAACTCTGACTAAAACTTCACTTACCTGTTATCATCATTGGGCAGAGTTTATGTTTACCTCTTTGTAATTGTGATCCCTCCCTATTGGACTTTAAGGTGTATGGCTCAAATGCTGTTTTCCCATTGCCTTATCTACAGAGTATAGACCAGGTATATAGGAGAAGCTTAATGGATAGTGACTGAATGAATTAATTGACCATTCTTTGAATCACACATTGATTAAATTTAGTTTATTTTTTTACCCCATCTAAATGAAATTTTCTGACAGAATTTCTCTCTGACCTGTTTTTATTCAAGTCAGCTACATACCTTATCTATTTTACTGTATTTCTGAGAGAGAAACCTGTTTTTCATCTTATGTTTCTATGATTTTTTTTCCATTTTACCTCCAGAAATACCTCAATTTTATTTACTAAAATTTAGAAGGAAAATATTTTATTCATATTTCTCTTTTCAATTTAAATCAAAAAGTTCTCATTGATGGTAATTTTGTTTTCCAGTTATTGTAGAGAATTTCACCAATATTATCCTTGGTATTAACATCAGCCTCGCAACTGTTGAACACAGGTGTAAATGTAACTAATTTTGAAGCATGTCAGACAACAAATAAATTATGATTGTTTTAGAGAAACATTTCTAAATTTGTATTTTCCTGCAACATTTCTTATCAACATCCTTAAATGCATTTTACTAAAAATTTACATTTCATAACTTGTATACAAATAATACTTAGCCCACATTACTTATAAAAATAAATGAAATAAGCTGAATTATTGTTGAAGGATGTCTGGCAATATTAATTTGAAATTATTGAGATACTCTTGGAACTACAGTATCAATTAAGTCAGTACGGCTCCTTTTTGCCAGTTATTCTTCCATTCTTGAATTTTTCTTTAAACAACAATGTGAAAGGGTATTATAACAGCTTTCAATATTTGTCCTAGTGATTGAAATTTTCTAGAAAATATTTCAGAAATGCAGCCCAATAGCAATATTAGTTTGAATGGGCATGTCCTACAGCAGGACAGAATGTATGAAGTCCTCCTGCTCTTCCCACTTAAATGTTCAGATGTGAACATAAGCTCCAAAGAGGACATACTGAAAATTTGTTTTGTTTTATCAATTTCTTCACCAAAATAGTTGTGGCTCAGCAGTAGAGTACCTGCCTGGCACGGGTGGGACCTGGGTTCAATCCTCAGCACCACATAAAAATAAAATGCATTGTGTTGTGTCCATCTACACCAAAAAATAAATATTTTAAAAAAATAGTTGTAGTGTAAGACAGAATCCTGTTAGTCAGCTTTCCATCCCTATGACAAAATACCTGAGAAAATCAACTTGAGAAAATCAACTTAAGGGAAGGGAATATTCATTTTGTCTTACAGTTTCAGAGGTTTCAGTCTGTGGTCACTTGGCACTATTGGTTTGGGCTTGTGGTGAGATATAGCATCATGGCATGGAGCATGTATCAGAAGAGGGCTACTCACATTATGTCAGCCAGGAAACAAAGAGAGAAAGGGAGGGCATCGGCTCACAAAATGCACTTGATGGGCATACTCTCAGTGACCTAACTTCCTTCAGCTAGGTCCTACCTATTGAAGTTTCCACCACCTCCCAATAGTGCCACAGGTTGTCAATGAAGCTTTAGCACATGAGTCTTTGGTCCATATTTAAAATTCAAACCACAACAAAAGGAAATTAGAGCTGATACTCAAGGGAAAGAAGAGCCAATGCCAAGAGGCACTAAAAAAGGGTGGGTGGGGGAGCTTCTCAGTCACATTTGATGAGACAGCCCAAAGATAATTAACAACCCTTGATCCTTAGAATAAAAGTATGAGAATATTGTATGAAAATCTACAGTACTTTCAAAACCTCACTATAAAAGTTTATTTTACAATGTGTTTTTAAATTATTATGTACTTTTTTCTTTTTTTCATGTTTTTTATTTATTCTAATTATGTATACATGATAATAGAATGTCAGGCGTTGCTACATTGGAGCTGACCATCCCCTAGCTTTGAGTGATGGAAATTTGGAGACTGGCTTCCCTAACAGGGAAGCAGGTGGATCCCCATCTCCACTTAGCAGAGAAGCACAGCTTTGGGAGTGGGCTGCCCCTTGTAAAGGTTACCTACCCCTCTGCCTTATATGAATGGAATGTTCTTTGGAACAGCCTCCCCCAATAAAACCAGGTTTGAGGCATATCTCTCTCTTTCTTGCTTGCCTTGCCCCCTCTGTGGGAGCTGGGTCAGAGGAGCTATCACAGAACCCAAAGGAAAAGGTATTTTCTCAGTCTTTGTGTGATTATTTTGTGCCAGCCCTCTTCACCTGGAATGACATTGACTGGTTTAGTCTCTTGTAGCAATAGTAGAATGCATGTTGAAATGTCATACATAAATGGCATATAAATTCATTCTCCTGGTTAGACATGATATAAAATCACACTGGTTATGTAATCATATATATAATAGGGTAATAATATCTGATTCTTTCTACTATCTTTCCTAACCCCATACCTGCTTTCCTCCCTTCACTCCCGTCTTCCTAATGCAAAGCACCTTGATTTTTTCCTAGCTTAACACCCTCTCCACCATTGTGATTATGGATCTGCATATCAGAGAAAACATTGGGTCTTTGGTTTTCTAATATTGGCTTGTTTTGCATTATCTATTTTTTAATATTAAATACATCAAGGCCTCTATTTCATTCAGGAACATTACTTATGTGTTTGAGGATTTCTACAATCACCTTAAAAGTAAGAATATGTGTTAAATGTGTGTTTTAAAGGCACTTGATCTTCAGTTTCAATATGAATTCATCATTCAATTTTAAAGTGACCAGGATTGGAAACTTTGTTGACTATTTTAGTCAGCCTTTTCAATGTGTGAGTAAAGGACCCGACCAGAATAACTATAGAGGAGGAAAAATGTATTAAATGGTTCATGGTTTCTGAAGTATCAGTTCATGGACAGCAGGCTCCATTCCTTGGGGCTTGAGGTGAGGTTTAATATCATGGCTGAGTGTGTGGCAGAGGGAAGCAACTCACATGATAATCAGAGAGCAGAAAGACTCTACTAATCAGATATAAAACATATACCCCATAACCATGCCCCAATAAACCATTTTCTCCAGCCACACCTCACCAGCCTCCAGTCACCACTCTGTTCATCCCATCAGGGATTAATCCACTAATTGGTTTAAGGTTATAACCTGGTCATTTCTCCTCCAAACCTTCTGGTATTATCTCACAAGTGAGTTTTTGGGGAACACCACATATACATCATAATCTTAACACATTTCAACTGGCAAACTGTGCATGCCCTTTTATAACTCTTTAGCTTTGTGCAGCTCAGATACATTTGGAAAAGGATTTTCTCATGTATAACATCAA